TGCTCCTGTGTGTCTTGGGACCAGAGTTAGAGCAAGTCCGTCTGTTCGGTCGCCATCTTCGAGCTCCGCCCCCTCTTCTACTCTTTGAAAGAGTTTGAGGATTGATATTAAATCTTCTTTGGATATTTGGTACAATTTACCGGTGAAGCCATATGGTTGGAAGATTTTGATTATTGATTCAATTTGTTCAGTCTGTTCAGGTTTTCTATTTCTTCATGATTCAGTCTTGGAGAGTTGTATTTTTCTAAGAATTTATTCATTTCTACTATGGCATCAATTTTTCTTATTTATAACAGAGGCCCAATGCACGGAAATTCATGCAAGAGTAGGCCTTTCTTCTCCCAGCTGTTGGCTGGACCAGGACTTCCCTCCTCAGGCTGCTGGCAGGCACCTGGGACCTGGGCGGCTTTCCTCTGACCCCCACATCATCCAGAAGGACATCCGGTCTAATTAGCCTTTTACCCTTTTATTATTATAGATTGGTTATAAGAGGGACATAGGGTTTTTATTTTATTTCCTTTGAACAGGGTTCCTTGTATAATGAGTCTAATTTTAGGGGATGCTTACTTGATAAAATGAGTTCAGAAGTTGAAATAGTTTCCCTTATATTCTCTCTCTCTCTCCCTCTCTCTCTTTTTTACTGTTTTTAAAAATGTAAGATTTGTATCATTTACTACTTAAATATATTTAAAATAATTTTCCAGTAAAGATAGCTGGCTCTAGAATTTTCATTGTAAGTTGTTTTAAAATTACGAATTCAACTTCTTTTGTCTTTTAACTATGAATTAAACTTCTTTACTAGTTTAAGGCTATTAGGGTTTTCTATTTTTTCTTGAGCCAGTTGTGGTAATTTGAAATTTTGAAAATTAAAATTACTATAACTGACACAAAATGGTAGTGTAAATTTTTAAAAAAAATAAAGTACTGTATTGAACAAGTAAGTTTTAAAATTTAAGTGTAAAATATAGAATGGAAATTTAAACACAGGTTATCTTTTTTTAAATCTTCATGAATATATATATATATATATATGTAATAATATTAAATACCTTGGATGAATTCTTATAATCAAGAAATTTTAATGTAAGAATTATGCACTTCTGTGTCATAATTCGCCTCAATAGTACCATCCAGAGTAAATCTAAGACACATTTTTTTCTGCTCTGTGTTCCTGGTTCTATAAGCATTTCATGTGAAAGCAGTGTAAACCATTTCTATATGAATGACATTTTCTGTCAAATTCTCAATTTTATCCTTGGAATTTGTATTCAATCTCATCCTTCCCTTTCCTTCCCTCCCCCTCCCCCCCTCTTTCTCCTCTTTCTCTCTCCACATGTTAGGGGATGTTGTAATTTTTATTTCTCTGGATAAAATATTTCTATGGGTTTTATAAAATGATGAAATGTATTACTTATGGTTTCATTATGTGGGAAGATAGAATTTAAAATGCTGTTACATCAAAAGGACCGAATAAATTTTTCAAATATCCTTCATATTTCTGATGTATGACATGGACTTTCAGAATCCATGTTGCTTCAAAATAACCTTTCATTTGATTTGTATTTATTTGTTTGTTTAACATTTGTAAATTAGTAAGCTGTTATTACACAGACCTGCTTTAGTTTGGATTAGTATGGAACATATCCCAGTATGCTCATTCAAGGTACCCTGCATAATGCAATCTCTAAAAGGTAGGTGCACGTGTGTGTGTGTGTGTGTGTGTGTGTGTGTGTGTGTGTGTGTGAAATAAGTAACATTTTTAGTAGAATCAATTTTCTTATGCTCTTTTTAGAAAATTAGTTAAGAAAGGCTTCCCCTCCCACTTTGTGGTTATCTACATAGTTCCAGACAAGCAAAATAATACTTAATACTATATTCAAAAAGAGAATCTTTAAACATGCATAACTGTATTGCTTCTTAATGACTATTTGGCTCATTTTTATGTATGTCTGAAATGTTTGATATGAAATATGTTAAAAAGTCAGAGAAAAATATTATATTTTCTTTATTACTCATATAAGCAATTTCTTTTTTTTGTAAACATTGTGGGAGGAGTAATTTATATAACTAATAACTGAGATTGGGGATGATACTTTAATTAAATATTTTGACTTTTTTGTAGTTAATTTTGCTTTCAAATTAGAGGAAAGATTAACCACACTTACAACCAGTTTTGAAATATAAATCTAAAAATGTTGTGGTGCGCAAGTAAATAAGATATAGGAAAATATTTGGAATTAAACTGTATATTCCAAATTAGACTAAACACTACAAACATAAATGATTAAATAATATTTTAAAAATATTAAACCAGCTGCTTCTACTTACCCCCTAACTATAACCTATTAAGTAAATTTAAAGTAATATTAAGTGAATTGTTAAATTTAACTGTAATTACTAGTAACTATATTTTGTTTGCTTTTCTTGATACTGTAGCAATTCTGCACATAGTCAAAATTCAGAACTTTCCCAAATCTGGCAATTACGTTTACTGGCCCATTTTTATAACACTTAAAATGTGAAGCAATCAAAATAAAAATTTTTTTAGAAAATATAAAAATGTACAATGAAGTGAACAGTTTCTTTTGCTCTTCTTTTAATCCATATCATCATGACCATTTTAACTCCACTTTGGAATTCTTGTATTAATTATAATTTTTATTGTTTTTCTGTGGTTTTAAGGAAAATTTGTAGACTTACCCTAAGTGCGCTTTAATATTTTTGTAGAAAAGGGCTTAATTTAGGTTCTGAATAATATTTTGCTTATAATTAGTGTAATAAGTACAAATTTATTGTCTACTTGATTGATATAAAATAGTCAGTGTGTCCCAACCACCTCCTTTACTACAGCAGGTCCTCCAATAATGTTATTTCTTCAGTGTTGTTTCCTCACAACATTGATAAGATGCCACAGGAACTTAACTCTTGTGTATATCAATTAGCCTATGGTAAGTTTGGTTGTTCTGTTGTTTCACTTAAAGTTGTAGAACCTATCCATGACATTAAGTGAGGACTTACTGCAGTAAGTAAGTAAGATTGGTGTCAGACATGCTCACCACGTTTTTGTCAGTTAAGAGGCAACTGATGAGGAAGCACAGCCCCTGTCCCCTTCTGGGGTGTAGGCAGCAGCAAATGGATGTCACTTGCGTGGAAGTCATGGCGCTGGGACATTGCCCTTTGACGTAATCTTTTGATATGTCCATGTGTAACTCATGAAGACTTCTCAGGGACCTTATTTATGTCAGAAGGAGATTGGGATACATTGGGTATAATAGAGTCTTATTAAGAAATTGAAGACGCATTCCACAAATCTTCTATTTTGATACAGGCTTATGCAATGCCTTGTTCATCTTGTTTAACATCTCAGAATGGGAATTCTGTGGTATCAATTATAAGACAAGATGTAGATATTAGAGGCCCAATGCACGCAATGCAGGCAAGGGGCTTTCCTCGGCCTTCACAGCCCCTGCTTCATCCGGAAGGTCGTCTGGAAGTATGTCCGGAAGGTCGTTCAGCTGTCCTGTCTAATTAGCATATTATGCTTTTATTATACCGGTAGATCATGCCTGCCTAATTACTTTTGTGAAGCTAATTAATTTTACGATCTGAGGGAATGTAGAGGAATGAATTAAGCTTTAACAATCTTAAACATTCTTGCAAATATCTCTGTAGTAGTTCTCCCCAGACATATTAGTTCATTGGAGTTCCCTCATTTAGAAAAGGCAGCAGTTTTTAACAGTTTATCTGCAACATTTTATATGTGAAAAATATATATTATCTTTTCTCACTCTTTTTCTTATGTTCACTTTAGCTTTTGTCAAATTTTATGGCTGCAGTTACAATTTTCCTCCTATCTATCTGAATGTTTCAGTTGTACATTTCCTTCTTTCTGCCAAATAAACAAAGCTGCTGCTTCTCCTCATTGTTTCTCATGTAAATGTACCTAGGATATTTTCATCCTTATGTGATATTTTTGAGTAATTGTTGACTGAATTTACCTTTGTGAAAATGAGGGCCTAGAATTCGGTAATCAGGTTTTGCATGGGGCAGTACTGTTTCTGAAATACAAATGAAAATGAAAGTGCGTCCAAAGGAAATTGGCTGAGGTAGCATGGTGAACTCACCACAAAGGAGCAGAGGTAGTTGAAGAGAAGGCTCATGAGGCTGCAGGCACCAATCTCAGCTCGATGTCTGCTGGTGTCACTGTTATTATTTGTTATTTTGATTATCATCATTGTCCTCATTATTACATTCATTTTTAAATGTCAGAGCAGATATATAGATTTATTTCGAGTGGTCATACATCTTATAATTTATCAGTGGGTATGTTTCTAAATGACTGTCGCAAAAATAGCTCTCCTTGTGGAAACTATATCAGAATTGTCACATATGAATACACCCAGCCCCAGATGTATTGATTTAGTAAATATGGATGTGGAAAAGTGATACTTAAACGCATAAAGTAAACTGGAGGTTAGTCTACTACTAATGAACTAGGGAAAACACACAGCTTGAACTTTTTTTGTGCCTACTTTTATTATTTATTTTCCACAGAAATATATTTTAATATTGGCTTTAATAATGTATGATTTTGGAGAAACCGGATACCTTATAAACCCTTTGAGACACTAAAGTTTATGTACATAAATATTAATGTTATAGCTCCTTATAATGTTCTTCTAATCAATCAGCTCCCCTTTTAAAACATTTTAGTAATATATTTTAAACAAAACTGCAGGGTTAGTCATATAAAATGTGATGGATACACGGTAAAAGGAAACTCAGAATCTTAGGATTCGAATGGCAAAGAAAAGGTTACCCAGAGGCACTGTCATTTTATATACTTTGATTTGTACAAGGATCTTTTACACAAGACATTTATAAGGACAAATATGAAGTTGACAACATTTTCCCCCCCTTAAAAGATGTTTTAGTTTGATGAAGATAAATTATTTTTAAATGGCATAGAAACTTTATATTGTTCTCTCTTCTTCGAATAGGTTATGTGGGTATGCAATTTATGTCGAAAGCAACAAGAAATCTTAACCAAGTCTGGGGCCTGGTTCTTTGGAAGTGGCCCTCAGCAGCCCAGTCAGGATGGAACCCTGAGTGACACGGCTACAGGTGCTGGCTCTGAGGTGCCCAGAGAAAAGAAAGCACGGCTCCAGGAGCGATCCCGGTCTCAGACCCCCCTAAGCACCGCAGCTGCCTCCACCCAGGACACCGCTCCTCCCAGTGCACAAGCAGACAGGAGCAAGGGGGCTGAGCCCTCCCAGCAAGCCATGGGGCCAGAACAGAAGCAGGCTGGATCCAGGTCTAGAAGTGAACCTCCAAGAGAGAGGTAATAGTTCCTTAACCCTGTAGGCAAAAGGCAAAGTCTTGTATTGACAACTCATTTTCAAGAATGTAACGGTCTTAAGAAAACATGTTTGGAAGCTAACATAGAAGGTAACAGGCCTGAAGAGTTATGTTTATCTTTAGAATGTATCATGCCTTTGGAGACCTTTGTTGAGAAGCATTTTGGTCATATTGTGTGCCGATATAAACTAGTCACCCTGTTGAGTATTAACTTCCAACCTTGAATTCAGCAAAGCTTTTACATCATTTCTTCGCTTGTAGCATTAATCTTTAAGTAAATGTGTGCTCTGAGAGAATATGATGGGGTCACCTGACCCAGCGGAGAGTGGGCGGGTACATTAGCACGCCTTCTCTGAAAATATTTATTTTATACTGAGCTCTGAAAATTGACTAGGAATTAACCAGGTGAAGAGTGGGATTGGTGTCCCAGGTGTATGCAAGAGCATGTGGCCTAAAGGAAAATGACAATAGAGGGGCAAATGCCCTTTTGAATACCAGTGGTCGGCAAACTCATTAGTCAACAGAGCCAAATATCAACAGTACAATGATTGAAATTTCTTTGAGAGCCAAATTTTTTAAACTTAATCTTCTTCTAATGCCACTTCTTCAAAGTAGACTCACCCAGGCCATGGTATTTTGTGGAAAAGCCACACTCAAGGGCCAAAGAACTGCATGTGGTAGTTTGCTAACCAAGGAATTATACCAATCACTCACTGATTGTATAAATACTTAAGAAAACAGTAAGGACATTGAGAGTGTAGAAGCAAAAGAGAGACATGTAACAATTTAGGGAGAGAAGCAAGACTAAAAGAATGGCAGTGTTTTAAATTATTGAAGAATCCTTGATCATATCTCATACACTCATCAGGAGCTAGTGGAAATGGAACAATTAAAGGTAGAGGTGAGAAAAACAATCATAAGCCAAGAATCATAGACTGGAGAACTCCTTCCATTTTCATAATACTCTATCCTTTCATAGAGCATTTTCACAGATGGTATCTCCTCTCAGCCTCATAGGAACCCTGCAAGGTAAGCATTCTCTATCAGAATTTCAGGAAAATAAAATTAACACTATATAAACTTCTAACCAGATCAACTATGCCTTAAACTTCCTCAAACTAACCCATATCTTAGCAATTACTATTTTGATAACCCACAATAGAAATCGCCCTACTTTCCCCCCTTGATTTTTGTTTATTACTACTGCTTTTAGTCAAAGGATGTTGAAAAGTCCTATTCTATGGACCTCAGAATTCCAAAATCAGCCTTAGTTTGTCTCCATTTTAATTGCATAGATTATATAGTGGTGTCAGAATGCTTAGTCAAGGCACCTACTTTTTGTAACTTCTGCAATAGTTGCTGGAACTTTCCAAAATCAAGTGTACACCAGTGTACAGAGAAGGGCTGGATGGAGCAACTGAATGATATAACATTCCAAAGATTGGCAAACCCCTTTCCCTTCCTTTTATCTTGCCAGTGTCTTCAACAGGATAGAGAGAAAAGTAGAAGAAAACTGTTTTATTCTTTTGTACTATGTTCTGAAATTAGGGAGAGGGAAAGAAAAATGAATATTAATTTCAAATTTTCCAATATTTCTTTTATTATTGCCTACAGAAAGTAAAATAAAGATTAAGGGTGAGCCATTCTTTTCCTAACCAACTTCTTAAAAAGGTGTTTGGGAATTACTTTTGTTCTACTATGGAAGAAATGCTATCAAATTTGATTTCTGAAATGGACATACTTGTTTGTCCATTCTTGAAACGTTTCAGGTACAGTAAAAGATTGTCACTATCTATTGTCCAAACAGATATCAGTTTTGAATTGGTTTATGTCCTTTTGCTCCTAGATTATTACCTGTATTCGTTTTGAATTGGTTTATGTCCTTTTGCTCCTAGATTATTACCTGTATTCGTTTCATCTAACATATTCTTAGTCTTTGGTTCACAGTTGTTAGCATACAACTTGTTCATTTATTGAATTAGATTATTGATGGCACTTATGGAGCTAGTTAATTTATAGAGAATTTGAAATGTCCCAATACTTTCTAAAGTCCCAGAGCCTATTGTAATGCAACTTGTGTTAGAAAGCTAGTCGGATATACAGGTTTAAAAACGGTTCCTGGTCAAGTCGCTTTTCATTAGACATCCAATTATAAGCAATTATTCGAAAGGCTTTACATCCGGAAAACGAAGGTCTGGTCTTCGCTTTAGGCTTTCCACACGGGCTCTCCTTGACAAGGTGCCTTTGTCCATCGCAGGAAGAAGACGCCGGGGCTCCCCGACCAGAATGGCAAAGGCGCCCCGAAGAGCGATCGGAGACGCGCGCCCAAGGCCTCCGCGCCGCCCGGGGAGGCGGCCTCGGAGGACCGGGAGCGGAGAGAGAGGCGGGAGAGCCGGCGGCTGGAGAAAGGCCGCTCCCAGGACTACTCGGACCTGCACCTGCAGGGGAAACGCGAGGAGGGCGCCGCAGCAGCCGAGGGGAAGCCCAGGAGCGAGGAGTACCAGACCCGGTACCGCAGCGACCCCAACCTGGCGCGGTACCCGGTGACGGCGCCGCCGGAGGAGCAGCAGATGCGCATGCACGCCCGCGTGTCCCGCGCCCGGCACGAGCGGCGCCACAGCGACGTGGCGCTGCCGCACACCGAGGCCGCCGGCCCCGCGGGCAAAGCGGGCCCCGAGGGCAAGGCGGGCCCGCGCGCCCCCGCCGCGCCCCGGCCCGGGCCGCCCGCCGCGCCGCGGACCCACCCGGCCGAGAGGACGGCGGAGGTCCGGGCGCCGGCGCCGGGCGCCAAGCCGCCGGCGAAGAACCCCAGCCCGCCGGCGGCGCCCCGGCATGGGCCGGCCCCCGCGCCCGCAGCCCCGGAGCCCAGGGCGCCCGAGCCGCTCCGCAAGCAGAGCCGCCTGGACCCCAGCTCGGCCGCCGTGCTGGTGCGCAAGGCCAAGCGCGAGAAGGCGGAGACCATGCTGCGCAACGACTCGCTCAGCTCCGACCAGTCCGAGTCGGTGCGGCCGTCCCCGCCCAAGCCGCACCGGCCCAAGCGCGGCGGCAAGCGGCGGCAGATGTCGGTGAGCAGCTCGGAGGAGGAGGGCGTGTCCACGCCGGAGTACACGAGCTGCGAGGACGTGGAGCTGGAGAGCGAGAGCGTCAGCGAGAAAGGTGCGGGCGGGGCGCGCGGGGGGCGGGTGCGGGGCGGGGGCGGAGGGTAGGGGGTGGCTCCGAGGTGCCTGGGTGCTGGCCTGGGGGGTGGGGTGGGGGGGACCTCTGCCAGGTTTGGAAGAGTGGCTTCTCATGGACCAGGTGATGACTGTGGTTATCACTGCGGTGTGGACTGTTAGGAAGTTGCTGAAAGTTGACCTGACAAGGGGAACACCATGTGTTTGCCATTAGATTTCATTAGATGGATGCTAACTAACGTGTGGTCATAACCATTATTCAGTAATAGGTATGCCAGTCCCTCCTGCGGCAATACTTAAACTTATACAGAGCCAGATGTCAATGGTATCTCAGTGGGAGTGGAGAAAAATGCCTCAGAGTGGGAGGGGAGAAGGTATGGCTTGGGAAGCTCACAGTTTCAATCTCAGTGAATGGAAGGTGATCGTTTTTGTTGTTGTTGTTTGTTTTGGATGGGATTTTTAAAACAACCAGAAGCTCCAAATGTGGGTTATAAGAGCTCTTCATGGTTTGGGTGCCTGTCATTCTGTGAACTTCGGTAATGTCTTATGTTTTTAGGTGATTATTTTGGGGTGGGTTGATTGGGGGGAAATTGCTTCTTTTCTAGAAAACTAAAACGATGCCTGATAAATGGAAGTGTGCCTTTAAAAAGAAAGACTTCAGTGGGGTAGTATTTTTCAAGTTTCAAGAGAGATTTCTTCACAAAGATTGTGTCATGGAGAAGTTATATATATATATATATTGTGCTTCGGATTTACAGTAACTTTGGGATACAAAGTTCGTTTTACCTATTACATTGCAGAAAGTTTTGGAACATTGAGTGATGGGCTGCCTTTTTTTCTGTCTAAACCTTCACTCTACAATACCATAGCTGCATGTAGCTGTTTAAATTTCAATTAGTTAAAATTAAATAGGCATAAAAATAATTAACTTCCCCACTTGCACTAGCCACATTGCAAGTGTTCAGGAACGATCACCAGAGAAAGTTCCTTTATTTTTTAAAAAATATTTAATGTTGAAAGTATTACAGATGTCCCTCTTTTGCACCCCCATTAACCCCCTCCATTCCTCAGCTCCCACGCCCCCTCAGTCTTATTGGCACTATTGTCTGTGTCCTTGGGTTATGCAAATATGCATATAAGTTATATTGTTAAACTCTCCCCACCCTCACCCCTACTTAGATAACACTGCTTTAGAAAATGTCAATTGACCATTAAAAATGTATGTTTGGTTTGAATATTCACTCCCATTTAAACTGGACACAATCCTGAATTTAATGGTGGGAGTCATCATTCTCATTGCATTGTTGGCATCCTTGTATGCGTCTTATATAATTTATATTTTGGGATGCTTATTTACATAGTTTTTGGCTTGCTTTTAATTGCTATATTATTTACTAAATATTATAACTTGATAAAAGTATCACTTTTCTTTCTCACCCTCTCTATCTCTAAACTACATGGAAGTGTTCTCTCTCTCTCTCTCTCTCTCTCTCTCTCTCTCTCTCTCTCTCACACACACACACACACACACACACACACACACACACACACGTCTAGTAATAATTAATGTCGTTTTCTAATACTTTTTTAAATCGAATTTATTTAAACAATACAACAAAATTTAATCAACAATATAGTTGCCGTTGTTTTCTACTACTTGTGCCCAATGCTCAGGAAGCATTTTAATCCCTCTGTTGTAAAATTCTTGTGATTCTTGTGAAAAAATTCGGTCAATGCATTTTTGAGGCATTCTTCATTATTAAATTTTTTTCCAAGAAGAAAGTTTTGCAAAGAACGAAACAAATGGTAATCGGAAGGGGCAATATCAGGAGAATATGCAGGTTGAGGGAGAACTTCCCATTCCAACTGGCGCAGTTTTTCAGCAGTGATTCTTGCAGTATGCGGTCATGCGTTATCGTGGTGAAGAATTACGCCCTTCCGATTAATCAGCATGGGTTCTTTTTCTCTTAAAGCTTGGGCTAACCTTTCCAATTGGGCACTATACACTGCACTTGTAATGGTTTGGTTAGATGGTAAAAGTTCATAATGAAGAATTCCTTTAAAATTCCACCAAACACACAACATCACTTTTTTCACATGCAAGTCAGGTTTTGGCGTGGGCTGCGGAGCCTCATTTTTGTCCAACCATTGAGGCGCCTTTTCAAATTAACATACAGCACCCATTTTTCATCTCCGGTAACAATTTGCTCTAAAAACGGCAAACGGTTTGACGAGAGAGGAGCAAACTGCAAATTGTGACTCTTTGATTGCGGTTGTTGTCGGTCAACTCATGAGGAACCCATTTTCCAAACTTTTGGACTTTGCCAAGTGCACGCAATTGATTGGAAATTATTTTTTGTGAACAATTTAAAGTTGTCGCAAGCTCTTGTTGGGTAATTTGAGGATTTTGCACCAAAAGAGCTTGAAGAGCTTCTTGATCAAAATTGGACACCCGGCCTCGACCACTCTTGTCATCTAACGAAAAATTTCCCTCGCGAAATTTCTCAAACCAACGCTGGCATTTTCTGGCGCTAACTGCATCTTGACCAAGAGCACTACAGATGTTTTTTGCAGCCTCACTTGCTTTTCTTCCTAATTGGAACTCGTAAAGCATGCAGTGCCGAATATGCTCTTCATCCGCCATCTTCTTAGCCCTAGTTTTGCAACAAAAACCAAACCAAACACAAACTTTTTCAAGCAAAACTTGTTCATTGCACTTCACACGTTCTGTAGATACCACGTGTTTGAAGGTTATGTCAATACAAGTCAACGCCAAGCAAGATTTTAAACAAATGTTAAAAAACGACATTAATAATTACTAGACCCAGAACACAATATACATTTTCTGTCAACACAATGTAAGCTCCAGACAGCATAGTGCATATACTTTTTAAACCTCAGTTTATCTACCAAAAGTGCTAAATACATATTTGCTAATAAATTTACAAACCACCTCAGTATAATAATATGAATTATAAGAATAATACATATAGATTAAGTAGTTGACTTATGACAGTGCTATAATCTGAATGTTTGTCTCTCCACTCCCCCCTAATCTCTCTCTATATATGCAATATATATGTGCATATATATGCACATATATATTGCATATATATATGCAATAAAGTATAAAGAAATAAGCAATAAAGAATGTTATATATAATAGAGAGAGAGAGAGAGAGAGAGAGAGAGAGATGTCTAATACCACAATGACTCTGAGATAATCACCCATACATATAATATACAAGGAAAACATTAAAAATGCTTTTATATATTGTAGGCTTCAATGTGGTCAGAAGAGGAAGAATGATTTGGGAAGAAATTTAGGAAAAAAGTAGATGCTATCTTGTGAGTTTCAGGGTCACGGGAAGAGTATTACCATGGAATAAAACTTAAAGAGCAGACAGAAATTAAAGTAGCATTTTTATTATATCCCATGCATGTTCTTGTAGTTTCTTATCAGTTATACATATAAGTTAAACATTTAATACAATGTTTCCCTCTCTTAGTATGTTCAGATTGCTATCACAAAATGCCACAGACTGTAGCTTATAAACAACAGAAAATTTATTTTTCGCCATTCTGCAGGCTGGGAATTCCAAGCTCAGCATGCCAGTATGGTCAGGTTCCTGTTGAAGGCTCTCTTCTTGGTTCATAGTTGGAACCTCCATGATTTGTCCTCACATGGTGGAAGGGGCTGGGAAGCTTTGTGGGGTCTCTTTCCCAAGAGCATTAATCTCATTTATGAAGGGTCCACCCTCAAATCCAAGGTCCCCACCTCTAATACCATCGATTTTAGGGGTTAGGATTTCAACCTATGGATTTGGGGCGGGGAGATTAGGGGGGAGGGGAGAGACAAACATTCAGATTATAGCACTGTCATAAGTCAACTACTTAATCTATATGTATTATTCTTGTAATTCATATTATTATGCTGAGGTGGTTTGTAAATTTATTAGCAAATATGTATTTAGCACTTTTGGTAGATAAACTGAGGTTTAAAAAAGTATATGCACTATGCTGTCTGGAGCTTACATTGTGTTGACAGAAATAAGCAATATAGAATAATTGCACAATGAAATACATTTGAAGGGGGGGTTTGGGAAACATCTGTAATAGTGTTAAATAGACACTTCAAATGGACTTTTCTTCAGGATACATTGATATAATTTTGCTATATGTCCAACTATTCAATAAAAAGATAAACTGGCCAAATGATATCTGAAAAATAGCCCAACATTTATATTGAATATAGTCTTTTACATATAGTGTAATTCACCCCCCCCCCCCATCCATACACACACACAGAGATTATAAGTAAGATCTATAATGGGTTCATATACAAATTGAGGTCAACTGCCATATGTTTTCAACATGAATGCTATTCATATTACTTTTGCTAACTGGAAACAAAATGAGCATCTCTTGTCTCATAGCTTATAAATAATAACAGATAAAATTTTCTATACAGAAGAAAAACAGCGAACTTAATCTTGCTTATGAGATAGAAGTTGCATTTTTAAGATTTTTTTTTATTGACTTCAGAGGGGATGTGAGAGGGAGAGATAGAAACATTAATGAAGAGAGACAATCATTGATCATCTGCCTCCTACACTCCCCCTTCTGGGGATCAAGCCCACAACTGGGAAGTGCCCTTTCTGGGAATCAAACCATGACCTTCTGGTTCATAGATTGATGCTCAACCTTTAACCACACCAGTAGGGTAAGATAGAAGTTGAATTTTAAGTGAAATTAGTAATATAATTCATTTGGAGAAAGTCTAGTGAAGATTTGTGCCCCTAAGGAATTGAGTAATCAGGCCTAACAATAAAGAAGAGACATGTTGGTGCCAATGCGGATGAGGGAAAGAAATTCTGCCAGTTATGAGAAGAAATATAGAAGCATTAATGCTTGAGCAGATGAGTAAATAACTTAAAATTGCAAAGAACTTACAGTATACACCCTCAGACAAAACAAGTTGGA